GAGAGAAAAATGTTACATTGTAGTTCTAAACGACGCGCACGTTAGTATCCTACGCGTACAAAAAGAAAAAAATCCTATGAATAAAATTGGGAAAATAAATAAAACTCAGGGAAATAAAACCAACGTATTCACGACAGTTAAAAAAATGCAGAAGTAAATAATTCATGGGCAAAAGGAACCGGAAGCATGAAAACAGAAAATCGTCAATGTCGTCGATATCATTATCTTTCCGTATATAGTAATATGGTTATTTGCTACCCACACCCCGCGTCATTCTTATTGACTCAAATTAATTCTTCGCGATCGAAATGAGAAATCAGAAAAAATAAGCAAAACGAAGATACAGAGGAAGAGGGAGGAAAGAGAGTGTTTTCAGCGCGGCGAGATCGACTCCGAGTTAATCGACAAATGTACATTCGCGAGTATCTCAGCATGGTGATTCAACGACATCCCGCGCGATGAGATTGATACGTGTCACTACATAACGGTGAGCAAATATTTTTGGGCCGAACGAGGCGTTCTCCCCGAGGCTGCGGGACGAAGGAAAATAAAAGCCCCTAAAAGGACGGAAGCAAGAAAAACGGTCGGCGACTGGAAGATCGTCGAGCCGCTACAATTTCTCGGGATCGAAACTCGATTATCGCGTTATTAGATTCAGCGCGCGGCTGCGATGGCACTACCGGGGCGACAATTATCGAGAACGTGTTTTCTAGGAAAATAAATTTTTATCGGAATAACGACGTTAGCCGCGAGTGTACTTAGCATACCCCCGCGCGCTGCGTGCCACATGGGCCGCCTTTCGGCTTACTTCTTTTTTCTTTCCTTCCTCGAGGATGTGATTCGATTTATCCTGCTCGCGTCTCACCCCCCGTGTGCTAACTCTTCCCCTTCCCCCGTCATCTTTGCCGGTAACAGTTACGTCTAAGTAAATCGGACGATAAATTCGACGAAATTACGTAGATTTATGGCTCGCGCAACTTCTCTCAGCGACAGTGAAGTGAGAACGACGGCGCCGGAGTCGTCTAATTCGCATTAATGGCAACCTGAGGGAATTAAAGACGAAGTTTCAACGTTTTCCGGACGTTTATTTCGGAGCGGCGAGCGCTTTTCCTTTACTAGTTATCCTCGATACGCGTATCGTTAAAATGCCGACGTAATTCGCTTAACAAGTAAACGGTACAGCCAACGCGGAACGCTGTGCGCATAACCGAAACTACGGTATAAAAAGGAGATGAAAAAATGTACTCTCGTGTTTTTCTTCCTCTCTTTTTTTTCCTCTATATACGGCCAATAATAATACGGATCGCAAGATCGACCTGTTCTCGGTTAATCAACACTGCGTGCTCTCCGATAGAAACGCAATTTGCAGTCACGTGGATGTATTGTGCTTTTGCTAATATTAGTATTTCGCATCACACGAGTGTAATTACGTGGCGCGGTATCGCCACGCAAACGCACAGGCGGTACGTTTGATAAATCGGTGGATTGAACTACTGACAACTAAATAATGATAAGGCAATAAAATTCTCCAAATGCAGGGAGAATTTGAGGGAAATGCGGATTTTCATTTAATAAACTCTTTCGTTTCACTTTTAACAAACGCACTGTGCAGAAAAAAGAGGGAAATGTAAAAATATTCCGCGAGATCGATTGCACACATAACATAATAATTTCGATTCGTGTATGGTGAAAGAGAAAGAGAAAAAGAGGAGGGGGGAACAGAGTGTCATCTCTGATACATATTCCATGTACGCGCCGCGCTATCCGCAAACGGATATGAAAACCGCAGATATGGCGCTGTGACCGTCAATTATTTCGAACAACGAATCCAATTATACCGCCCACACTACAAGGCGCCGCGTCGTTCAAAGCCAACCATGATTGCACCGCAATAAAATGCTAATTGAATGAACGTCGTGAAAACAAGCACTTCGCGAAATCTGCGTGTCTGCGGCTCGAATGGGAATTTCAATGGCATGCCATTGGCCTCGTCCGAAATATACAGTCACTTTCAAGTTTCATTCTTTCGAATAATCGACTGGAGTAAGTGTCGCTTTTCGTCGGAGTACCGGCGATAGAGTGCGTATATATTGAGCAGCACATATTAATAATAATTCGACATTTTTACTTTTAAATTTCGCTCGCTCTTTGTTCTCGGCGAGCTCGTCAAAATGCTTCTCCTCATACCGAAGACTTCTTATACAATGACAGATTTTACATACCTGGACATGCATGACGTCGCTCCGCATCCTCCATCCTGCTTCCCCGATTCAGCATCCCGCTGCTCCAGCATCGCACACCCTCGTGGCACTGACACACTGACACTCGCGCGGGTGACAACGGATAAACACGCGATCTGAAAAATACCGATACGAGAGATAATTATTACCGATCCGGCGGATCCGCGGTATATACGCGTCGCTCGCCGTCTCGAAACGCAATGTCACACTCGGCAAGATACGCGACAACACGAGGACAAGTTTGAGCGCCGTGAAGGTCCCGGATGTTTGGAGAGTGTTGATTGAGATCGCTCGGCCGTACAATGGCGAAACGTTGACTATTCGCGGGAAATGGCGCGTGACCCTTTTTATCTATTGTTTTGGTACTCTTGCGCACCGCGTATCTTTCCGCAGCCGAGTGTTTATGTTTCGCAACCGAAAGTGCGCCACGAACGGGTTTGCGAGTGACGCGTTCTTCCGCGAAGTATTGAATCCGCACCGAGTACCCGTCGAATGAAAATATCGGATAAACTTCTGGAAACCAGCCACCACGCCTAATTGCTAGAAATTTAATGTCAAATTTTATGCAAATAAAATCTGTTATGTATTGTTATCCAGCGCTACGCTATTTTCTCAGACTTATCTGTGCGCTACGATTATATGTGTGTTTATGCGAAAACATATTTGTTCAGACCCAATTTAAAACCTAACCTAATCGACTGCAATGTAGTTGCAGTCCATCTTTTAATTTCAAGCATACAAAGAGATCATGAAAGGGGAAAGTTGGTCATTTTCTGCACACATCAACTACATCCATCTATTGTTCTTGATTGAATTGCTTGCGTATTTTCCGCGAATGAATAAATAATCTCCAAGCAAGGTAATGAATGTCGAGATTTTCCAGTTAGAGTTTTAGCAAGGAGAACGCGAAAAAAGCCGCTCGCGTACGCGAACGACCCGGTTTTCTTCTTCTACGAACTATCGTTAGAGGCAATATTCCGGAAAATTGTTATGTAACCTCCCAAGGTCAAAGAACGCATGTTGTTCCATTTAAAGCCCGCTGCAGCTCTAAATTCACCGCCGCAGCTTCGTGGGGTGCGCTGTTAAGCGCAAAATAGGAATTCTGCCCGTATACTTATGTCATGTACACCGGCGAACGATGGCGGAATGTTCTTTGTGAATGTGAAGCTGAATAGTTTGTTAGCCGAGCACGCTCGAACGCGCCAACTTTTCCCCGCGTTCCGAAGAGGAGAGGCCATTGTTTCGTTGCTCGCACCTCTCGCGAATTTTCAGCCATCTCGCGCTCTTCTCGCTTGCTTCTTATCTCCGTCTTACTTTGCGTCTCACCAAAGGGCACCGGGAGGAAGGGAGGGAAGGAGGAAGGAGGGAGAGAAGGCGAATTTCTCGCGTCTTAAGAGTCGCATCGCAACGTACGACCACGCGCGATAACTTGGGGACAATATCGCATGTTGCTTCACCAAACGCAGCTAAGCGTTAACATCGTCCGATATCGCTTTTCGACATAATTCGACGTTCGAATCTGAAAATTTCGGTCTGGAAATTGTGCTGTGGCGAGATCCTGTAACTCGTTGTGCAGTCGTTACGATAACGATCTGTCGTTGCGCAGGTATAATATATGGCAGAGAAGATGCGCAACATTATATAACGAACCGAAAACTGTCTTTATTAGCATATAACAAGTTACAGAATCCCGCTACTGCGGAGCAAGTCGTACGTGTATATATATATATATATATATACATCAGGCACCTTCCCTTTAAATAAACACCAGAAGAGCAGATAGATATCCCTCGCGGCGCAGACCTTCCTTATCTTTACAGCTTTTATGAGGCTTACGACGAGGATCGACGACCCGGAAGCAGCGTGAATCACGCCGCAAGAAGCGCCTCTCCTCTCGTTACCTCAAATCAATAAGACGAACAGAAGTAAAAAGAAGGGAAAAGACATTGTGCGTCTCAGGAGGAGACATTTGTAGTTTTTTTTTACCCTGTGTATAGAGCAAAATTCGAGGTGTAACTCTCTTTACGAGTTCGCGTTCACCGTCGGCCCTGTGATTTTTGTAAAGCCAAGCGGACGCTTCAAACGCGCACAAGCACGTTGCTCGTGTCACCTTTCCGCAACTACCGTCTGAATTATTATTATTGTATATTCGAGAGATTCCGATATATATATATATATATATACGCTCCGGTTAAATTCCATCTCGTCGGATTCGAAATTTACGACGCGAGAGAAGACGCGAAACTCTGCGAGTTTCCCACCCCATAGCGCGGGTGGTGTACGTCTCGAGACAGTTCTTGGTGCTCAATCTATCGCTGAGATGTACGAGACGGCGGTGGCGGCGGCGGAGCTCTCCGTAATCAGGAACATTTCTCTCTCCCGGGGTTTACTGCCCTTTAATCCGGCGACGTGTGCATGGCGAAGCGTATCCGTTAACATCGCCGTACGTAATTCTCCATTAAACGACGCTGCAGACAGTAGTCTCTCTAACGGCAGAGAGCACGGAACGGTGAATATCGCGGTGAATTACGTGTTACACGGGAGGTGCGTACGAACGTGACGCGTATTCGCGTGACTTACGACCGTATTTATGTCTAATTTCACATTGAATGTGATTGCGCTTCGATACCGAGGCCCTCCTCGGTGTAACTTTTCAAGAGCACATGTGCCTGTGTATCGTCTCCCGTACGAGACCGTAAGGTCTCGCTCGACTAGATAGTCATGTAAATTTCTTACAATCACGCGATTATTTCTGTTTAGATGCAGTCCAGAGTAACGATCCTGTGCACGCTGTTGGCGCTCGTTGCCGTCTCGAGCCTCCTAGTGGACGCAATACCGCATAGGTAAATTCCATTCGACGAGATTGAACGACGGATCGACAAGAGAGCAAAGCAACGGGGACTGCTGGCTACAAGTGTTATAAGTGTAAACAAAACGCAGGGTCGCGTATATGAAAGTTCCCCGCTAGCTTTCTCTCCCTTCTTTTGTTCTCTCTCTCTCTCTCTCTCTCTCTTTCTCTCTCTCTCTCTCTCTCTCCCTCTCTCTCTCCCTCTCTCTCTCTTTCTCTCTCTCTCTGCCCCTCTTTCTCTCTCACACACACGCATAGGCGAATATATTCGTGCCAATAAATCCCGATATTATTAATAAAATCAAGGCTATAAAATTTGCACGAAAAAGAGAAATAGAGGGAGTCAACGTGGTTTTCAATCGAGTCGATTTGACCGGTTACGTAAATATACATACATATATTCGCCATGCGAATGAAACTACATAATTTGTTAAACAGAGATTTTCAGATGCAATCATTTGTACGAATTGCGCGATCGCGGTTGCTTTTAGTGTATGTATGTATGTGTGCGCGTTTGCATGCTCGTGTGTTCGCAACTAAACGAATATGTTGAACGAGAACGGAAGTGCATCTGTTTGCGCGTCGAACAGTTTAACCCAGTTCCGCGTTTGACGACGCACCGAGCCGATAGAAAGGAATACACAGAAAGTGACTCGATCGTCGCCAAATGGCGTTTCAGACAACGACGGATAATTTTGAGTTATGCGCGCGGCTGTTTTTTTCCCATTCTTAACTGCATTATACAATATTTGTCGAACGTCTCTGTCGCCGTGTCCACGCGCGGTTTTTCTTGGTCTCGTTTCAAAAAGATTGCGAGTTCGGCGACCGATCGATTTCACTGCCGTTAAGTTACGTGTTTTTCCGCTTGTTTCCTGCTATCGTATCACCGCGCGGCGAGATTGAGACAGCGAAAGAGAGAAACAGAGAGAGAGAGAGAGAGAGAGAGAGAGAGAGAGAGAGAGAGAGAGAGAGAGAGAGAGAGAAGGAAAGAGAAAAAGAAACGCTCACGCAAACTTGTTGCAATCGTAATAATCGAACGATCCAATTTTACGCACGGCCATGAAAGTTACTGGGATCAGCAAGACGACATAGACCGGGACGAGTTTCTAGAGATACTCTCTCGTCTCAGTCGCACCGTAATGAGCCATCCTGAAATGGAAAAGTAAGGAAATGTGATAACAATCTCAACATTAGAGTGCATGCTTTTATCCTGGACACTGGAATCGCGCATTGTCAGTGATAATTATAATTCGGATAATTATTATCCGTGTCAGAGTGAAAAAGTTCGCTCCGATTTTTCAGTGAAATTTGTCTCGAGTGCGCTCAATGTGAACGAAAATTTTATCATTCATCAACCGAGCACAATTGTATAATTTTGTCCAAGTTCCTTTCGTTTATAATTTTTCGCCAATGTTTCAGCGGTTTACGTTTCTATCGTAAGAAGAGCTAGTCTTTACCGTCGAATAATACAGAAAGGAAAATCGAAGCGAGTTATTCAACCGACACGCAGTATTAACTCATTTCGAGAAAGAATCGTAAGAATTCGGGACGCAAGTTTCAAGTCCTCGAGCAAGCGCTTTTGCCGCTCGCCGGCGAAGGACTTCCATGTGCTTTTCAAAACGGTCGACATCGCATACGTCTAATGAAACATGATAACCGCACGTTTTCTCGCAGCACCAAGCGAGGATTGGATTTGGGTCTAAGTCGCGGCTTCAGCGGTTCTCAATCGGCGAAACACATGATGGGGCTCGCAGCAGCGAACTACGCCGGCGGTCCCGGACGGAGGCGTCGCTCGGAACAGGCGTAGATGGCAGATTCAAACGCCGATGCAAAGAAATTATTACCCGTAATATCACTTTCGACTTGATCCTCCTACCACTCTGTCTCTACCTCGAGCTTGAAGCTGATGTGTGAAAATTTGCCGTTGCCAGTGGTGTGACTAGGCGAGCGTCCGCGCGCTCCAGAGATATTCGACCATTAATTCCACTTAGACTTACAGTGCGAGGGGGAGTGTATATTGTAGTGTACATCTTTGTCTCCTCGAGTCGTAAATAATGAGCGAGCTTGTCGCGCGAGCTCAAAAATTACGGTTCCAATAAATCGTTTGGGTGTTACTCGCGTCTCGAGCGTCGCGCGCGCGCGCGCGATCGAGTTTTAGCTATATAATCTATTCTTCATCTCTCCCCTGTAGTTCTTCGCACTCGAAGCCCTTCGCGCGTCCCTACTACCGTGACTAGTTGCACCACTGATCGTTCGTGTCCGCTGAATTGCGTGCGCTGCTGAATTGCACATTTTGTTCCAAGTGTCAATTTCTTTTCGATGACGCTACTTGGAGAGAAGAGACCAATGCGGGATCTCGCGTGTAGGCGCTTCTGCCTCAAATTCATTTCATATGGAGATGTATACGTGTTTCTTTAATTGTAGTATAGCCATGAATCGGATTATTAAAAAGACAGTTCGTTTTAATTGCGCACAAATCCAGTCGGAGAGAGCACGGTTGTATTAATTAATAAACGACACGACATGAAAAATGTCACGGATTTATTTAGATCGAGCCCAGCTGCGACTCATTCACACCCACACATACACACACACACGCGCGCGCGCGCGCGCGCACGCGCATAACTGTATGTCAAAATCAATGTTTCGCAATGATTTTATGGATTAACATAGCTCGGATTAACATAATCGGCTTTCGCGCGATTGAAACTCCTCGTCCGCCGTCCCGCCGGCCGGCGAGGAAGAAATCGAAAGCACGGAACGAGGAAACGTCTCCAAGTATTTATCATTGTTGCGCAGTGTACCGCTGAAATTGATTTCCCATCTGGAGTACGTTGCGCGCGCGAGTCGTGCGCGCGGATTAACAACTTTATCCATCCCATGAGATAAATGAAGAGGATACGGCGTTTCGCTGATCCGACAGGCTCCTGCGAGTCGCAAGCCTCCGCGAATCGATGACGCACCGTTTCCGGACTCGATTTATTCTAGTCATTACGATCTGCAATTGAAATCGTACCATTTTCGCCCCACGTTCCTCCGAGCGCCGCACCGAACGGTAGAGAGTTTTTTTTCTCCCCCTAACCCTTTACGCGGGGAATAATCTTTCTTACGAGCGACAAAACATCCGCTTCGTTATACTTTCATATCTCGACGTATTGTACGATTACGCTCGCGCTCGTTCTCAATCTTGTCCGCTCCCACCCCTCCCCCTCTCCTCCTTATTTTTTCTGACTTTCCTAGTGAGTCTTGTAAAAAGAAAAAAAAAGAGAATCGTCGTATCTAATATATGATAATTATATAATCGGTGTTGTTCGCGCTCATTAGGGCAGAAGTGCTTAAACCTCATCGTCTCGTCGACGAGGACGATACGCGAATTTCTCTCTCTCGTCTCGTCGGCGAGAAAGATCGCGATTTCGCGCGTCGGGAATTAGAATCGCGCGAGTAATATCGTATTTATCGTAATTTCCAACGGCCCCTCTTTTACGTCCACTTATTTTACTTGAAGAACCGAGAGAACTCCTCTCACACGAGGCGCGTCGCTTGAGACTAGTTTGAACGATTCTACCACTTTAAATCACTTCATGTCCATTGACTTATGTATTGCCTGTAACACACGCTACGTGCACCGGCTGCACCGTGCTCGTATAGAGGAAGAAAAATATCGTACAAAACGTGCGACCTAGAGATAGTGAGACCTCTCGTCCCTTTTCGTGTTACTTTCTCGTTAGACTTAGATAAGTAGACACCAGGGATGCGCAACGTCCTGCCTTCGTCCCGCTTCGAAATTAAAGCGAACAGCGGAGTGGTGCGCGTCATATTGGTTGCTTCTTTTTTCTTTCTATTCCTTTTTTTTAATAGTACCAACCACGTTATATTAAACATTCACGCGCCACTGAATCACGGTGATATTGTAGGACAAACGATAGCTCACAAAAATAACACGTACATTGTTTTATAGCTTTTTCCATTTAACGCGATCAATTAGTTGAAATAACTTTTGCGGTTCCCCGAATGAACCTACGGCTGCATCGACATTGGATGTCGATGTGGAACAGATTCTATGCACAGCGAGGGCTGATTTATTTTCATTTCTAGCCAAGTGCGACCCACTTCAATATCTCAGTTGCGCATTCCTGCCAACAGGTGGTAACCAAAACGCACAGTGAGTGTTGGTAATGCGTTTCTGAATACGTTCGGGAAGAAATAACACGCGATACAACCCGAAGGGCTCGGAGCAACAGCACGTTAAATCGAATAAATCCCGCTAGATTCTATTACGTCGAAAGATTATGAGGGTACCTGCAAGTTTCTATATATATTCCATATATTGTGTTAGAAATAACAGAGTGTGATGTCTACGAAATGCAGATGATGCGATTATGACCAAATTTACGAAATTTACGAAGCGCCAAGATTTAGCTCGCTTATTCTCCTATTTAAGACGCGCTTACGTTCGTCCCGAAACGAATACACACTGTGTTGTGCGGCCTATGAAATAATATATTAGCTGATAAATAATTCAACAGATGCAGAAAAGAGAGCGAAGTGGCATACCGTTTCTCGCTTGATATACGAGTTAACAGCGATCTCTTCGAATCCTCATACGATAACTATATCGTCCGACGCGGACGCGAAAGCGAGAATTTTATTCCCTCGTAAAATTATTCGATATTATAGAAATGTGTGTACGAATGTGCCCATGGACGAAGCGATCCGCCCGATCGCGATCGCGAAGTCCCGGTTTGGTTATCACCGATCCCAGAGCGAAGCGCGTGAAGTCGAGACCTGTCGTTTCTGTGTGTATTATAAAGAGATTTATTGCCTCTAGTGGAAACTGATCGTAAATAAAAGTTACCTACTTTAACCCAGCCATGCGCGAACGTTATTTATTCCGACGATGCTCACGCAACGCGTGTCCTCGCGTTTAACGTTAAACCACGATTCACGCTCTACTTGTCGCTGGATATTCGGAAGAGCAACACGACGCGCTCGTGTCGGTTGCGCTTTTCCACGGTAAATTGAAATTTTTGCCGATTCAAATTGTAAAAACAAGGAACATAATCCGCGAGTCTCTCTTTCAGCCTTGAACAATGTCTGTCGTTTCCGTAATATGCTCGAAATAACATTTCACTCGCACTATTGTTAACACGCGCGGACGATTCCGTCAATAGTGTCAAATCTATCGAATGTCAACGGCAAATGGGAGATCGTCAACGGTATCGCCGTGTGTGACTCGGCATTGTTCCAATCCGAGATACAGCGCGATCCTTGAGCAGGATCGTTTTACACGAATCACAGGAAGAAGCTGACTCATTGGTGTATAGCCGTCGTTAAGTAACTGACGTTCGACATTTCTATTAAGTGCCGAAACGTCGCAGAAACCCGTTTTTGTCACAGAATTTACGTAAGTGTGACGCTGTGTAACCGCGTGTAACCGCAGACTCACACACACGCAGAGAGACATGAGCGTTACACGCACGAAACGCGTGGTATGGTGAGCGCAACGCGCATCGCTGCAGCCTATCCACATTTCCCAGTCAAGACTCGTTAATGCAGGATCATCGAGCTCGCCAACTCGTGAATCGCGCAGTCACGAAGCGTGCTCGGCTCGCATGACTTCGCGCTGCATGACGCGCAGACATCACATGTGTTTCGTGTTGTCTCCTACTCTTTGCTCACGCTTGATAAGCCAGGCTGCTTTCATGTGTTCGGCAGCGAGTCGATAACGTCATATCGTAGACGCCAGTCGGGTGCGGCGCGTCGAGAGAGACGAGAGTATCGTAAAGAGAGACATCATACAAAACTACGTAAGTATAACGGAGGTTATCACGGGTAAAACTACACTACGCGAATCTGCGTTCCTGATTCAACGTTAAATAGTCGTCTAATTCGGGCCGTCTTATTCAGTAATCTATATTTGTTGTGAATTTGTTATTGTTGTGAAAGTTATATGTAAAATATTGTCGCAGTTCAAAGATCAATCGGGTGTATTTAGGGCTAAATTTAGTGTTCAGAATACGAACCGTGATCTCGTTATGGTTTAAAGTGAACTCAGTCTCTTTCTCGAAACGTATTAAACGTCCAAAATATCGGGTCGAGTTATAAATCGATCGTATAGATTATCACGAGGTAAATATATAGTTTTCTTTTCCCCTTTTCTCTTTTTTAGACTCGTCGGAAAGATCAATAAGTTGCTTGTTAGTCGAGAGGATACAAGTCGTTGATAATAATGACAAATAGATACTACAGTTGGGTTTTATCGTAAAATATGTCCTAAGAAAACATAAACTTATACAGTAATAAAATAGGAATTATTTGTGGTTCGATGCGATATGAGGAGAAGCAGATTCACCATCATTATAAAATTTTAAAATAAATTGGATACGACGCTGAATATGAATACGAATAGCTTAGCCCAACGTTTATCTTGTTATTCTCATCAAACGGTTTTTTATCATTTGATTAACTCATTAAGGCCCATGCTTAAACCAGTAGAGATATGAGAAAAGTAACTATTTGGTTTCTGGCATGGGTTCTAGCAATGACTATTGGTGCTTCAAATTGGTTGAAAAAAGATTTTTGTAAACAAATTGTTGTAAACAAATTAAGAAAAATTAAAATTTTACAGATAAACTAACCGCCCCAATCTATTCTACGAGAAAAATCACTAAAGAAACATGTGTTACATTTTTTATTTTCCGCTTCATTTGTTGTTAAAAAATTACAAACAATCTCTATATATATATGCTTGCTCCAGCCCATGCCTAGACCAGTAGAGATATGAAAAAAGTAACTATTGAGTTTCTAGCATGGGTCCTAGCAATGATTATTGGTGTTCCAATTTGGTTGAAAAATTGTTTACAACAATTTGTTTACAAAAATTTTTTTCAATACTTTAAGTATGGGCCTTAATGGGTTAATCGAGTCGATGGTATTACGAATTGTGATTATAAAATCATTTCACCAATTCGTAAATTTTTTATCTCTTCGATTTTACTCTTATTTTTCGCTTTAAAGTTGAAGGATTTTTTCTCTCTTTTTTTTAGTTTTAGACATGACTTTCTGCTATTTTTATTTCATTTATATATTGACTTTTTATTTATTTTTATTTACGCTCACACATTATTTTAATATTATATGTAACGCGATATTTAGTACGTACATATCTGTTTTTAATTCATTATCTTGAGCTGAATATGCCCCATATGCTAACAATAATTAAGTATACGTATAATTATTACTAGCACGATCGAGAAACATTCGAGAAAGTATTTTATTTTTCATTGAGACACATGGAATGCCAAGTGATAATATAGTTATCAGCAAAACGACGTTACAATCTAGATTACACTCCAGAATTCTACGGTTTAAGATAAAGGCCGGACAAGTTTCGAGGAAAATAACTTTGAGCAACACGAATTTCTCAATGCAGACGATTGATTTACTCTATGAGTCTGTTCTTTTAAGTTAAAGTGAAACAACTATATTTTTTCTCACTCTAACTTATTGCACCAGTTCAGCAGTACAGCTAAAGAGAACAGACCATGTATGTTACACTAGTCATTCATACATGCACGATTCAATCTCCGATCGAATAAATTTCAGGATCATCGCGGTGCCGGTATAACCGGGCAAATGGATTTGCTGAGAAGACAAGGCTCAAATTACCATTCTGGAAAGTGTGGTGTTTGCGTGAGCGTAATTGTACTCGGAACCTTCATCGGGTGTATGTTATTAGCGTATACAACATTTGCGAGTCCCACTTCTAAGTATGATACATTGCAGCAGGTGGTGTTTGTAAGTAATACGTTGACAGTAATTATTCAGTCATATCGCGTACTGTTAGTAGGTGACGTTAATTTGTCACGTCGAGTCATAAGTAACTTCCGTCTTCTTTTCTCTGTTCGTAAATGTAATTTCGTGCGCAAGTGCGTTTCATAATAGGATCTGATCCAACAATATGCGCGTCATTATTGACAATAGCTTGCATTTCCATCTATGGTGAATAACTTCATCAACTCTTCCCGCACGTGTTCAGCTACATGTTTGTTGCCTCTGTGGGAAGTTATTCGTGACTCGACCCATACGATAATTCTGATATTATATAAAGTTCGCCGGAGGACTTGAAGCTGCTTGAAAGATATATAATAAAGGGAGACGCGGTCAATTCGCGGCACCCTCATTTTCCCTCATATGAGAGTAATCATTGTTTCGACAGCTGTTCCGTCATGGTGACCGAACTCCTACAGAGACTTATCCTAAGGACCCTTACATAAATTACTCTTGGCCCGGAGGCTGGGGCGCTATGACCAAGGTTCGCAAGACATCGGCAAATACCGTTAGAAACCGAGATCTCTTGTGTACATAATGTAAATCAGCCGAGGAAGATAATAACGATATACTTAGCACGATATACGAGTACAACGTATGTTTTGAAATAAGAATCCATGTGTACATGTATCTAGACTCTCAGAGCAAAATAAATCGTATCATTCGTAAGACACGCGATTTGAGCGCGCGTAATGACGTATGGTGCATCATTTATGGTGAAATATACTTTCAGAAAGGAATGCTGCAGCTGTACAACGTGGGTCAATGGATTCGCAAAGAGTACGGCGAGGCGATCGGTAAGAAATACGAAAGTGCGAGCACGTTGGTACGTAGCACCTATGCCGATCGGTGCATCATGTCGGCACAAACGCTTCTCGCGGGATTGTTCCCACCGAGTCCCGAGGACATGTTCGTGTCCGGCTTGGAATGGACACCTATTCCAGTGCATGCGATACCACGAGAGATGGACAAGGTATATGATTCACGATTGGATTTGAAAACGATAATCTGTATTAACATATTTCGTACGATGTTCCGATGTTTTTCTCAAGGCTCACACGTTAAGGCAAAAAGTAATATCGATTTTTAATTTAGCGTTCCATTCATATGCGATTACAAGGAAATACGCAAATAAGATATTTCGTGACCCATCCTTCTCAATTTGTTAAACATTAGATCTCGTATTATTTCGTACGCGACCCATCCTTCAATCTGTCAAAAATTAGATCTCGTAGTATTTCGTAAGTGATATCTTAAAACGTGCGTGTTATCTTAAATACTTTATTTTCTTAACTTATTACTTTATTTTCTTATTTTAATACTTATTATAATACTTTATTTACTTAACAACTTCATTATTTGGAAAAGGAAAATGCGCGCTTTGCTATATTAAGGTTGTGGGAAACTGAGAAAGCTTCAAATCGACGTTCATAGCTTATTACAATTTTACAAATAATTATAGTTTCTCATGAAACTCCGATTAACTCCGATTTCCTTGTAATTATTTTACAAAAAAAAAAATAGCAGTGCAAAATGTCGAATGATAATCCACGAATCTGAACCTTGTTTAAAATTCTAAGATCACGAATAATGCACAGCTACAAACAAACCGGCTTAAAACGATGAGAAACGTGACAATGAAAACACTTATTTTTCAAGATAACGATATTATTACAGCTGATAGCGGTGAAATCGTCATGCCCGCGGTTGGCGGCTGCTCTGAAGCAGGCTTATCTGGAGGAGGAAGAAAGATCGGGCGAGAAGATGGCTGATTATTACAAAGAACTGACCGAACATACCGGAAAAAATATGAGCACTATCACGGACGTCGAGTTTCTGTATAATACCCTCGAGATCGAAGAAGAACATGGGCTGAAACTTCCGACATGGACGCGGAAATTTTACAACGACGAAATGCGCGAAATAGCCGCTCGCAGTTTGGCGATCTTCACCGACGGTGTCGTTCAGAAACGTCTTCGGGGAGGTACGTCGGTACGTTGTTATGTACGTTGTATGAAAAATATACGCGGCATCGCCGCGGTGATATATCGGTTTCGAATTGTGTCGCGAGATTTTACTTGCCGCTACGAAATATCACAGAAACTTGTTCCGATATCCGCACAGGTCCGTTGGTGAAAGAGATTCTACAACATATGGAGGAGAGGAACAATGCTCAGCTGCGATCGAAGCGTACTTACTTCTATTCCGCTCACGACATAACCATCGTCAACGTGATGAGAACAATGGGATTTACAAGTGAATACCTCAAACCAGAATACGGGGCGATGCTGATTCTCGAGTTGCATCATGCCGATAATGAGAATCAAGAAGTGAAGGTAGATTTAAAGAGAGAATTATTGCTTCAATTTACGATGCAATTACGGACAAAATCTATAATTGCAAATTGCTGTCGACTATTTCGGTCCTCACGAACGTTACGAAGAACGTTACTCAGAACGTTACGAATTATGAGATATTAGTTGCACTTGGCAATGGGCCGTGATAAATCGAGATAATGAATGCGATCGATCATCATGCATAATTACTAGGAATTATACATAATTAGCGTAGTTACGAGGATTGTGTCCGAGCTTTATTAAATATCCCTCAGCTTTCTATTACAACAACCGAATAATTATACGTATCTGCCACATCTGAACACAGCTAAAATAACCTGATGTTTGTATGTATGCGTGTGCTTTTATTGCAGATTTTATATTTAAAAAGCGCGGAAAACAGAGAAACGTCACTCCTGCAAATACCAAATTGCCCGAGGCCATGTTTATTGCAGAATCTGAAGCAAGCGTGGCGCGAAGTAATACCAGATAACTGGGATGAGGAATGCAAAATGTGATAAAACGTGAAGTTTCGTGTGTGACAAAAACGACATGTTAAAATTATTACGAATACATTATCTACGTATGTGTCAATAATGTATCGTATATAACGTATAACGTATGTCAACAACGACTGTCTTATGTTAATAATGTAAAATATTAATCAATAGTAAAAAGTATTACTATTGATATATTAACGTTTGCATTGTACGTTATTTATGATCAACGTCTTTTACACGTGCACGAAAATGACTGTAATACATCGAATAGAATTTCTTTGGATAAAATAATACAAAGCATAAAATATTAAATCATATTTTTACATATATAACCGCATCAAGCTGCGATTATCCGTTAGAAGCTACGAAAGATTGAAAAGTGACAGGTACACGCGAAAATGACGAGCCATCGAATAATAATCATCGAAATATGAATGATAAGATTTGAATCTAGACCCAAAATAACTAAGGTTCTCCGGTAAACCGTGGTGATAGGTGCGAAAATGACGAGTCATGAAATATTAATCAACGAAATATGAGTGATAAGGTTTTAATCTAGATTCGAAATAATTAAAATCCTTGCAAATCGCAACGACATGCGATTTAAAATTGAAAAACTTTGGTGAAAACTCGTTGGAAAGCAGATATTTTTGAGCATGCGAATCTCGTGTAATCGTTTCTTCGGCCTTTGTTTCTTTTATCCTATCTTTTTAGGATTGGATAAAATAAGTTAATAATATAAGATTAAGGATTTATATGTCATCAACTAATATTAATGTAAATATCAAGAGTAAAAAGCATATTTACGTTATAATATTATTTTTTAATTGCATTTTTTGTATCATGTTACGGTTATGTTAGCTTTAATTTTAAATTGACACAAAATTATTTTTAATGAAATGGCTGGAGCAACAATGCGACACTGAGATTACGAACTATTTTAAATTGCTATAATAAAACAAATGTAAAATAAATTTACGTCTGAACAGCTCCTGAAATTCCTCTTAATAAAATATATCCTTAACACTATTTCTTCGCAACACAATTTTAACATAATTTGACTTTGCACAATCACAAAACTGAACATCGCATAAACGCAAAACTTTATCACAATACTTATTCATTTCACTCATACAGGTACAAAGCTCGACACCCGACGATATTTCGCGCACGAGATTCTTCCCTTCCCCGAGCCGGAAGCATAAAGAACAACGATTTATACTGCTATTGATGAACTCTGCTATTATGCGACATACGCACGAGACTTCATTTGTGGTACTCCCGACGACATGATTTCGCGAGATATTCATTTTCGATCACTAGTTAACAATATTTCGCCATGACAAACATATGAAATTTACTTTCGTTACTCCCGACAAGCACACGTGCAAGACTTACTTTTGGTAATTCGAACTTGCGAAAAAGATGCGCCAGCAGCCTCTCGAATCCTACATTGAACGTTGTAGTCCGTTACATTGTTATCGCGACGGTTGCAATTTTCAATGTTACGTAGTCCACTGAATGTACATCACTCGCGTACAATATTCCGTTGAAAATGGACCGCTCTTCAAGAAGTCCGCCATGACGAAAAAACTCACGAAACTTCACTTGACACTTCCGATAAATAACCGTCACTTGCAACAAATATTGAAGGATGTTATACTATATCTCGATGTTTAACGACGAATCCACGCGCGAGACTCGTACAGTAAGTCAGAAGCATGAAACTCAGTAATGCGAATCCGAATGTCGTTATGGGATGCAAAACTTTACTGGACGTTCCGACGATTCACTCGTTTCACGATATTCACTTCCCGCAGCTATTTAATGACAATTCACAGTAACACACGCACATAATTCACTTTCGGCATTCCCAGTGACGACGATTGAGACATGTGGCTCAGTTACGGCAAGCCAAAATTACAAAGAAACATGAGCGACAATTTTTCGCACGCAACATTATCCCGCAGCCCGCGCTATAACTGATCATAGCTCTAACAGCGCCGCGATTGGGATTTGAGGCAATCAAGTCGACCAATCATGGTAATTCGTTTCTTTGGCGCTACTTCGTGATTCGCTTAACTAGCGCTATGAATCCGAGATATTGAAATTTCTGCAATACCGTCTCTTAGCTTATACCCATATTCATAGTCAGGTCTTATATTTGAAGCCTCTTTATATCCATCTTTAGATGCTGCACGGATTATTTTATTGGCTACAGATCTGAAGATTTAATTATTTAATAAGCTCACCCTTTAGTGTATGTCTACAACCTCGTTTCAAGAAAATATTTTATCTCTAAGCCGTAAGCTCTAAGCTGTAAGCTGAAAACTGTTAAATAAACCTAAAGGCTCGTCTACAATAGCTGTAAGAGTAAGGCTGTAAGGCTGTAACGTAAGCTGTCAGCGAATGAAAATATTTCATTTCGTGCCTTGCAACCTTACAGCCTTACTCTTACAGCTAATGTAGACGAGCCTTAAAACGTAAGGCATAAAACATGACGTATATCAGCCAATGAGAGAAGGGTTATTCGGACTTGGTGGTTAGTGATAATGCGTTTGTAAACACGCAGTTTCTTTACTTTCTACATAAGCAAGATGGATTTACGTCAAGCTCTCCTGCTAACAACGGTGTTGTGTTCGTGGAATGTGCATCTTTTACAAATATATGGAGTACAAAATCGGAGGTTATATCGGCGAGCGAGGTTATATCCACGATCAACGGTGTATTCTTTTTGACACGACAAAACATCCTCTTCGCTGATTGGCTGAAAATTATATGTCGACTTTAAGCTCTACGCTTTAGGCCGTAGGAATTGAGTTTTGCGCAATTCGCTTAGATCTAACGGCTACAGCTTAAATACTGCGCGGGAATGTCTTAGAGACAGAAATGACATCACTTAACACTTACGGCTTAGAGCTTACATCCTCTTAAAGCAAGGTTGTAGACATACATTTATTGGCTCATTTGAATAACGGACTAATGAATACTGTAAGCTCCTTATTAACCCGCTAAAATAATGGGTCAATACATTTAAAGCGTGGTCTACAATGGCCGCAAGCAGTAAGAAGTAAGCGTGAATAATAAGAAGTGGATCAACTACAGTTGTTTATTTTTGTCATAATCGACTGTGATTAGTTTATTTCTTACCGCTTACGCTTACTTCTTAAGGCTCGTCTACATTAGCTGTAAGAGTAAGGCTGTAACGTAAAGCGTCGTCTACAATGGCAGTAAGCAGTAAGAAGTAAGTGTAAGCGGTAAGAAATAAACCAATCACAGTCGATTGTGACAAAAATAATCAACTGTGGTTGGTCCATTTCTTACTGTTCACGCTTACTTCTTACTGCTTACTGCCATTGTAGACGACACTTAAGCTGTCAGCGAATGAAAATATTTCATTTCGTGTCTTGCAACCTTACAGTCTTACTCTTAAGGCTCGTCTACATTAGCTGTAAGAGTAAGGCTGTAAGGTTGCAAGACACGAAAGGAAATATTTTCATTCGCTGACAGCTTACGTTACAGCCTTACAGCCTTACTCTTACAGCTATTGTAGACGAGCCTTTACAGCTAATGTAAACGAGCCTTTAAAGGCCCATCTACAATGGCTGCAAGAATAAGGTTGTAAGCGTAAGCAGTAAGAAATAAACCAAACACAATCGATTATTATAAGAATAATACGCTTAGAACCTTATTCTTACAGCCAAACGCTTAGAACCTTATTCTTGCAGTAGATGGGCCTTAAGGCCCATCTACAATGGCTGCAATGGAAATAATACCACAATCGATTATTATAAGAATAATCGATAATGGTTGGTCCATTTCTTAAGCCAGCGCCACACGGTGCTTGTTTTCGTGCTGGAATGCTTGCTGGATGAAAATATTGCGTTCTGATTGGTGCATTTCCATCCATCTTCGGAAATATATCAATCAGAACGCAGTATTTTCATCCAGCAAGTAATCCAGCACGAAAACAAGCACCGTATGCCGCTGGCTTTACTGCTTACGCTTATAACCTTATTCTTGCAGCCATTGTAGATGGGCCTTTAGATACCGACTTAATTTCCAACTCTCACCAATAGGTGGCACCAGCAACGAATATTGTGACTGATAGCAGAGAGTAACCTGAGAGCGGCCAATACGACATTTTCTGCGACACCGACTTTCCGCACTGGGAAAGGATGCCATCTGCATCCATTTTGAGAGGGGAACTACGATAGTACATCCACTTTCAGGTCTCGGTGGTAAAATCTGCATGTGGTGGAAGTCCATGCTACATCCACTTTCAGGCGGTTTATGTCCGTGCTGCAATGACAGTTGCCATCTCTATGCCAGACTATGCCCGGTGGTCTAAAAAGAGCGGGAGAGAGGGGGGGAGGAGCAGAAAAAATAAAAGTACGTATTAAATGTTAAATCTTCGAATATATATTGCCGTATCAAAGTCTCTTCTATAATAAACAATTTGACATGTATGGAGACGCATGATGTATCGTTGTCCGCGTCCCGTTCACTTCGTCTTGTTTTTTAATTCAGCATCCCGTCCGCTCCGGACATTCGCTCATGGCACTGACAGTGGCCGTCGGTGAGCATTCGATCCGCTCGGAGGAGCACGTGTTATTCACGTAATTAACGTGACGAGACTCCGATTATAAATATCCCGCGAGTCGACGAAATATTTGAACTTTTAAAAAAAGCATCAAAGAAAATCACGTTAATGTTGTCATGGGTAAAATCTCACCCCGGTATATATTTTCTTATTTCCGAAATAAAAAAAGCCAAACGAATGCAATTAAATGTTATTTATCATCATTGAATATTAAATGAAAAGTAGAAGAGTTATTGTCCGCAGCGGATAATCTCCCTGTATAAAATGTCGAACTGAAACATATTAAAAAGTATTGACATTTTGAATACGTCTGAATTCTGCTTTCTGATCCGAAGAAAGGGAAAATAAAAAGTATTAGTTCCCATTAAATTTCATCGTGTTAAATGCGAGATGGCAGTAGTGAATGCTTCGCATTAACAAGGACTCAATTCGTTTCAAATATGCCTTGTATTCAATCGCAATCGATAATTTTTAAATGCGAACTTTCGTATTGAAAAATATTCGTATTGATAAATATACTTCTTCTCCTAATCGTTTTCGGATTCAGAGGCATATGGCCGGATAAAATTTCTAAAGAACGGGTATAAAAAAAAAAACTAAAGAAGCGACAACTTGTATACTAAAAATATCAAGAAACTGAACAGCAGTCAGTTTGACAAAATCGCAATGTACAGAAAATCGAAATTTTCTGGGATGTCCATGGAGGAGACATGGACATTTGAACGGTATTTTCACCGTTTCCTTATTTCCCCCGTCCGCATTAAAAAAGTATTCACCCGCGATCCAATCTGACAGCAGAATTCACGACAAAATCTCGTGAATGCGAAACAATACTTTTAAATACGACATTTTATACAGGACTAATATTTAATAAGAGCGTGACTAAATTCGCATAGGATGAAATTCCATTCTTTAACGCTACCATGATCTTTAATTATTCTCTGAAAACGGCGTCACAACAACTTACACTCTGTACAATTAGTTGCTAACACATTTTCTAATCGTATACATTCCTCTTTAATTAACATAAAGCTAACAAATGTCCGATGCATCGACAGAGTAATTTTCTTTATTTTCAGTAACCAATAAATAGAGTGCATCAATGTCGCGTACAATTGAAAGGCCTCCTAGCATTCCCCTCGTCGTTCCGAAACCTTCGAGAAAACAAGAGGCGCTCAAAGGCAAGTCTCTCTTGCTTCAACCGCCGCCGAGGCCCGCAATGTTTACATCGCGCCGATTGTGTTGATCGGCTCGCGAGCGAAGACACTTTTTGCCCTTCGTATTATAATACTCGCGCACCTCATGTATTCGACCTCATTCCATCAGCAGCAGCCGTGCGCGACGCTCTCGTCACTTCCGT